AATTGGTCACCGTGGCTGGAGCATAAAGAAAAAAATGCAAATAAAAGCCCACGTTGTAATAGGTAGCAATACTTGTCCTTATACTCAAAGGACAAACAGTAGTGGTTAATTTGTGTAATTATTTATACTAAATCAAGGCCACGTGTGCTGGCGTACTAGTAACAGGGTGCAACTGTGGGTGTATTTAGGACTGTGTACAGGCATTCTCATCAACCATTAGTCCCTGGAACTGCAATTTAGGGCTCTTGTTAATGAGAAGTTCCAGATATATTCAGAAAAGACACTTGGACTCTGCATCTTTTCGTGAGAACCCACCAGAATGGGAGATAATGTGGAGCAGAGAAGGAAATGCCTAGAGCTTAGCTATCCCTCCATGCTAGCTTTCACACTACTTTCTTAAGCAAGCTACTGAAATTTGTCTGGTAAGAGTAAAATTTACTTTAAGCATATGTAATTCACTGATGCTTAGTCAACAGGGTCAGGCATTAGATATTATACTTCAGAGATTAAAATGTCAAATCCAACACTTAGCCTCTAACAGGGCTAAGTAAACAAGCCACCACGGCTCACTGGCCCCACCAACTCTCCTGCTCCCAGCTGGCTCAGGAAACTTTATAGAGAGTTGAATTGAGTGTGTCTATCTAAACGTGTAGGAAGGAAGCTGTACCTAATGACTCTGAAAAAGTGAAAATTTCAGTCAAACCGGTTTTTTGATGTAAATCTCAAAGCCTGGATCCTTGCCCAAATTCAAACTAACCTGCTTATGCGCATGGCCGGATGGCAGACTACCCTTAGATGTTGTGCAAAGAGCCAACTGTTGGAACGTTCTTAGAAAAGACAACCTTTTAGGAGGAAAATGAGAAATAAGGTATGGGCAGAAGCGATGACGTCAAATGAAAATGATCGAGGAGCAAAAGCTAAGACTTATACTTTTTTATATTTATTTATTCCCTATGTGTTGATGGTTCCAGTATAAACCAGTAGTAATTAACGGAGACCAAAAATGTTTCTGATCATAATTTCAAATGTCCATAGGTGACAGAAGAAAACAAAACGGCATTCATTCAGTACAGATCTGAGGAGCAGAATCTAGTTTTTAAATTGTATTTACGTGGAAACAATGCATAGGTAAACCATATTCTAGAATTTGGATCTTGTCTCAAAACATACCCCTACCAGTAAAACTTAATTTTAAATAAGCCCATTTCTACTGTACTTACTAAGTCCAAAATAAAACACACACACACAAACACCACTTTTACAGCAAGCCACATGGCAAGGGTCAAATAATTTCCCAGGTGGGTCCTTCAACAAGCTAAGTGTCCCCACCATTCTGATCCCATCCCCATTTCAGGGTCTGGGACACCAGCATGGGGCTATCGTCCCTTAAACACCCATAATCATCAATTTAATATTACAATTGGCTTGCAACTCCTGTCAAAAAAGTTTCAGACACTAGCTGCTGGTCCTGGAACTTTAGATCAAAGGAAAAACAGAGTATTTTCTTTTTAAACAGGGTGAAATCCTTCATCTTTATTGACACTACCTCTAAAAACATTTCAAAACATGTTAGTGCTGTCATGTGGACCAAGTCTAAATATGTAGCACAATGGATTTTGGCAATTGGCTTCTTCAAAATTCAGAATAAGTTTTTGAAAACTTATGGACTATGAAACTAAATATTTGAAGCCAGAAATGACAGTCAAAAGCCTGTGGGAGCTATCAGCCACTTACCTCTAGACAGAGCTCCATGGGTGTGAACATAGGATAGAAATAGAGACCACCAGTCTCCTTTTCAGATTTGAAAAGCATTTTACTAATACTTAATTAGTGGCTTAAAGAATCACATTCTGAAAGCAATAATAGAAACCATTAAGATTACCCCTTTCCTTTTAACTCATAATGTCTGGCACATTCTACGCACTCAATAAGTATTCACTGAATTCAGAAATGAGGACTCAGAAGCTGGAGCTGGTAAGTGACACGTCCAGATTCACACCGAGCTGGAATGGGAAGACAGGCCTCCTGGCTTCCAGGCCAGGACTGAACTGGGCTTCCTCAGATCTCATCTCCTGAGAGAAAGGACGGTTCACTTTGGATAAGATTCAGAATCCCTGAGTCTGTTCCCTTCAATACAGCCCAGACCTAACCAACCAAGAATGTTTTCAGAGGAGGGGCCAGGGCAGGCTTGTCCGGTAAGGAATTCCTCACTCCTTGGAATACCACCCAGGATCGCTTCTAGGGCAACACTTTTACTTCTGTTGTGCAAGAGCAAGGGGCTTGCTCAACATCTCTCGAGCAATTTCCAAGTTCACGGTTAATTTGGTGACAGCTGCCTTCACGAAAGGTGGCCACGGTGACCACTGAGTAATTGTGAGCAGCAGTCTAGACCATGAACAGACTCACACAAGGGGCCTTCCTAACGAGCCTGTTCCCGGGCCCTTCCCTCCCCGTCCCAGCATCTGACGTTAGATGCTCACACACACTTACCCTGGCTTTCCTAAAACCAGGACTCACGCAAGGCAGTGGAGGCAGGTGGTTGAGGGAGGGCTCTGGGGCTGGAAGGCCTGAGTTCAAATCCTGGTTCTGCCTCTTACTAACTGGGAAAGTCACTTTACCTCTCTGTACCTCAGTTTCCTCACATATAATGAGGGTACCCACATCATACGCTTGATGTAAGGATTAAAAGGACACTTGAAACAGTGTCTGACAGTACTAAGTGCAACAAAGAACAGAAGATACCATATCTCAGAACCAAATAAATCTCTTTAAAATGAATAAATTTTCCTGAACAAAACTGACTAAATTTGATTGATGAGTCTTCGACACTTTTTGTAAAAAGACCTCATCTTATATTTTTAATAATTTGCTCCTTAAATTTGGTCTTTTCATGTTACTTTAACTGAATGACATGTGTTCACCTACACTCACTATTTTATTCAGGAGCATTCTGTTTTAAGCAAATATGGGACTAACAGGCAAAATAAGTGGTATTTATGTTTTTCTCAGAAACAAATCTCCAAGCACTAATAGTAGTGTTCAAACAGGTAACAGCAATGAGCTGGGATCATTTCTGGAGTGAGAAGTGATGCTTTGGAGGCGCTCTAAGAATTTAATCTAGAATAAGGATGGGGTCCCCTGCAGCAAGAAGGGAGAGACCACCTGCCTCAGAGAACCCTGCAGTCAGCCAATTCAGGAACAGGCTCACAGCCACTGGGGCACAGAACGGAGAAGGCGGAGCCCTGCAGCCTCCGTAGAGAGGAAAAGCTTTCAGGGAAAAGACTAATCCCTTAGTACTGAAATCACCTCCCACCTCCTCTGTCCCACATTTTGCAAGACTGTTAGAACTCCAGAAGTTCCAAAAGAGCTCCTTACATTGGCAGGTAATCTTTCCCAAGACTTGACCAATCTCTCCTCTGTGCCAGGGTTCCCCAAACCTCGCTGTCCAACAGAATCACCTGAGGAGCTTTTAAAAACCCGGATGCCCAGGTCTCACCCCAGACCAACGAAATCAGCATGTCTAGAGGTGGGAGCCAGACATCGATTTTTGTTTTGTTTCGTTTTAAATCCCAAGTGATTCTAATTTGCAACAAAGTTTGGGAACCACTGCTTTTTGCCTTAACGCTCCCCCAACAAACGCACTCAGCCTCAAACTCCTCTTCTCTGTGCCAATGGCATCACCAGCAAGTACAGACCTGACTCTTGGAACCCGGGCTGCTCGATTTTGAAACTGTGCAATTAAACCTTCCGAGGCATGTTTCTCAGGTCAAGTGCCTATATGGTCGGTACTCACGAAGCCAGACTCGCTCACGCTGGGTCTGGACATTTGCCACACGTGCACCATGGACATCAGTCCTTTCTTTTTTCAATTAAGTTTAATATTTTGGTTGGCCCAATGTCAAACTCTTCAAAAAGCTAAAAGAAACATCCCAAAGAAAAAATCTGGGGATTTTGAGGTGGAAAGTTTGCTATGAGCTTTATTTTGAAAAACTATGGGGACCTGGCCAGATGGGTTCCGCCCACAGAGAGGTCGGCACCAGGACCCAGCTGTCCAGCCGCGGCCGGTCCCACCGCTCTGTCCAGCTCCACCGCAAAGCCTAGAGAGGTGACCAAAGGGCAGCAGGTGGGGCCAAATCTCGAGAGTTCCCAGGAAGCCACCACTTCACGAGACCCACGCGCTCAAGGGGCGCGGGCGCCGGGGAGGGAGCTCTGGGCTGGCAGGGAGCCTGGGTCCCGGGGCGGCAGCAAGACCGCGCGGAGCGAAGGATCTGCGCCCCAGGCGGGGTCCGACCCCACCCTCCTTCTCTTGCCGAAGACGAAACTAAGTCCTCCCTTCCCGGTAGCCACAGGTAGGTAGTGGCAGACGAGTTCTCCGGCCTCCCGGTTCAAGGCTGCGGCTCCACACCCGGGAAAAGGGCTTGCAAGGAGCCAAGAGCGGGGCCGGGACCCAGGCTGGCAAGGCCGGGTGCAGCGAGCCACCTTAAGTGTGAGACGCGGAGCGTCCGCTCCTGTCCCAGGAGGTCGGAGAGGGGTGGGGTGGATTCCCGCCGGTCCATCCTCAGCTTCCCTAAGCCCCTCGGGGGCGTCCCCCGGCACGGTTGGACCCCCAGGTGACAGCCCGGGGCGCACGTGCGGAAACACGAGCCGCCCCGCGCCCACCCCGCGTCAAGTTTTCTCCCTCGGCCGTCGACCCCGCGCAGGAAGGCAGGAAAGTGAAGCCGGAAAGTTGCGAGCGCTCCGGGCGCCGAGCTCCGGGCGACAGTTCCCACACCCGCCCGCAGCCCCGCGGCCCCGCGTCCGGAGTGTCCCCTCCTCGGGCCGCCGCGGACTCGCCCAGCCCAGAAACGAAACGTCCACTGCCTCCCACGGTCCCGGCCAGAGGCGCAGCCGACCCTCAAGGAAACAGGAAAGGAGCGGCGGGCGGCGCGGGACGCGGAGCCGGTGCGCCGAGCGCGGGCTGGGCCGGGACGGCGGCGCGGGGCCGGGGGGCACGCCCTTACCTTTCTTCTCCTCCAGCGCCGGACTCGCCGGGAAGTGCGCAGCCAGCAGCACCAGGAGCGCGGCGCCGACCGTCCCCGAGGATCGCATCCTGCCTCCGAGACGCTCGCTCCGGGTCTCCGCAGTTAGCCCCGGACGGAGTCGGAGTCGGAGTCGGAGTGGGAGTCGGAGTCGGGCGCCGTGCGCGGCGGCGGCGGCGAGGCGGGGACTCCGGCGGACGCGGAGGTAGCCTGTTGCCCGGACCGGGAGGCGGCGGCCGGGGCTCGCTCGGGGCTCGCGCGGGATTCGGCCGCCCTGGCCGCGGGCGTGCACACCGTGCCGGGGGCGGAGGCTGCGGCCGCCGCGCTGCGCTGGGGGCTGCCCAGACGTCTAGCTCGCGGGGCGGGGGCGCGGGAGCGAAGGCTGGGCTGGAAGGAGGAGGGACCAGGAGGAGGAGGAGGGATCGGGAGGAGCAGAGGAGGAGCAGAATACGAGGAGGAGGGAGGAAGAGCCAGCAGCTAGGACCACAGGCAGGCAGCCACTAGGAGGTGGGGACGGCGGTGGCCCCCGTGGGCCCGAGCGCTCAGTAAGGGCGGGAGCGGGGGCGGCGTGCGGGACCCGAGGGTGCCCGTAAGAGTTAACTTCCGAGTGGGGCGTTCCCTGCGCTGTCCCCCAGGACCCGGTCCGCGAGGACTCGCCCTGCTCTCTCCGGGGCCAGCCTCCGTCGATCCTCATTTGTACAGGGTTCCCATTTCCCCGCCCCACCCTCTAACTTGAGGAGCGAACTTGTACCAGCTCTGGGCAGACTAGCTGAGCCTTAGGCCCAGGATGGGATGAGGAAAAAAAACCCTGTACTCCGGCCCCCAACTCCTCCACAGCACCCCGGGATCCTAGTGGGGGGTCAGAGGCTAGCCTGGCAGCCTCGTTGTCCTTTGCTGCGCCTTGCTGTGCCAGGTGTCTGAGAGGGTGCTCTAAGGTACGAGGGTCCTTCAGATCCTGTCACCCTCAAAATCGTCTGAAATGAGGGCACCCAACTCCTGGCACAGAGACAGGCCTTGGGAAATGTTTGTTGAATGAATGCATGAGTACCGAGGGAACCCACAGCGTTTCATATGCCGGGAATCATCCAGGGGTACTTGAAAAGCAAATAAATGGGGGTAAATTACCTCGCAAAACTTTGCGAAAAATTACACTTTTAGAGAAGCCAGGTGCCCCATTGTCCTGAGACAGCCACACATAACTCAAGCAGGAGAAAAGCCAGGGAAATTTGCTAAGGATTTGGCCAGAAGAAAGTATGCTTTCTCGGGCTGCAGGAACTTGAGCTCAACTCTCTCAGCAAAGTCTGCCCTACTCCCACTGCTCCTCCGCCCACAGGATACATGTCCTCAGGCCCCATTTTACAACCAAATCCCCTCTTCTCCTCCCAAGATCCACTGGTGACATTCAGGCAGGTTCAGCGCTGGTCTCCCCACTGTTGAAGAAGGGATCACAAACCTAAAGGAAATGGAGTTAAGACTGGGACCTTTCCTGTCCATGGAGAAGAGGAACTGTGCATCCTTCCTTCCCACCCAGCAAGCGCAGGGCACCGGGCTCCTCACCATCCACAGAGCCCATGACTTTTCCTCTGAACTGAGAGTCATTTGTATTCATTTGTTTTAAGAAATCAGGAAGACCACTGAGCCCTCTGAACTCGTTTAGCCCCTGGGTGGAGAAGGCTATGAAGATTCTGCAGGCTATGGGTTTGGTTCCCTCCACATGTTCCGAACAAGGACTTCAAGAAGTATGTAAAGACACAGCTACAGAAAAATTACACAAATTAGAGAAGGTCAAACTGGAAACACAACAGTGGAAGGTAGAGTGAAGCCAGGAGAGTCTTAGAGAAGACCTGCGCACACCCAGGTCCTGCATTTCCTCAGCAAGGGCCACCGATTTGGCTCTAAGCCATCTGTCAAGGAAACATGAGAGGTGGCACAAATCTATTGTCCATATGTTAATACACTAATCAACTGAAGCTACAACTAATCTTTAAGACTGCATAGAAATTTATCCCATAAATCCCCCAAAGCACACAGTGTGTGAAGGTATCCCAGCTCTCACTGACTGCTTTTAGAATAGACAGCACCACCTTCACGGTGCTGTCTTCTTATAATGTCCCTCCACATGATCTGATGGCATCTCAAGAAGCAGAGCTTTGTGAAAACAATTCCCCAAGGAGACAGTGTGACACTTCAGGCACACAACCCAATAGTGGGTTGATCCCAGCGAAGGGAGAGGAACGGGTGAGTTAAAGATCCTCCTGGGACACCTGTGTTAAGTTTGAGTTTCTGCTCTGAGCTTGTGAGGCATCCAGGATGCTTTTGTACCCTTTGGCAGGTACATGGAGTGTACTGATAACTGTGTTACTTGTTAAGTAAAAAAACTAATGGCCAAGCTGGCAGAAATGACATCCTCTTGAGAAAACGGAGCCTTGCCTAGGCTGAGCTATGCATAGAGGGTGCTTGGGCATCCAGTCTCTGCAGGGAGTGATCCCAAGTCACATCCCAGGCCACATCCCAGGCGAAGGCTGCCACCACAGGAACAGCACCAGGAGCCCTGACTGCATGCTGCTAGGTACTGATCAGAAATGAGCTTATCTGACCGCTGTAAGCCAGGTTACACCTTTGTCTGCCTTTTATAACAGGATGATGCTGTGGCTTAGCAGCATTAAATAAATCGCTTGTCCAAAGTCCCCAAGCGTACTTGCTAGTATGAGGCCAGCCTTGAACCCAAATCTAGGCCATGTTCTTCTTTACTCTTTTGCTGCAACTTTTCTAAACCTGAGACAGATAGAGACTTTGGGACCCCAAATTCTGTTTCAGAATATCTTGGAAACTTTTTAGAGGAGGTACAACCAAAATTTCTGCTTGGCCAAAAACTTCCTGGATAAAGCATCCATGTACACCATATTAGCAAGTGTGTACTGCAACTGTAGTATATCCCACATTAATTCTCATATGTGCTGTCAATTTTCCTAACACAAGCTGTTCATTCTCTTTGCCATCTACAAATGGGAAACTTTTTTTTTTTCCTTCTCTGATGAGCAGTTTTCCTCTTGGAAGAGGCTTCTGAGTGTTTAAATGAGTTTAATCTTTTCTGGAAGGAACATGGCAGGGAATCCCCAGAAATCACATACCTTGTGGAAGGAGAGGAGAAACTGGGGTTATTTTGCAGGATGATGATAGGAAGGCTTCAAATATTTTGAGTTCCATCTTAGGCCAGAGGCATTTGACCACCTGTTTTCTCTGGCCTTTGAGGTCAAAGCAAGGATTAATGAGGAAAAACATCAGAGGGGCAGATTTCAGAATTAAAAAAATTATCTTTTATAAACTACTGGAGCTATCTAAAAGTGGAATGAGCTGCCTCTGAGTGGAATGAGTTTCTCCATCCTTAGAAAGATTTGTATGCAGGAGCAATGCTAAGGGAGACTGTGAATTAAGGACTGAACCAGGTCCCTTCCAATCCTAAAATTCCGTGGGAACATGCATTTCTAACATAGGCTTCTATTTCAATGTACATGGACTCAACAGCTCTTCTAAAGATACATTTTAAGAAGACACAAGAATGTGGTAACAGGGTTGCCACTGGGGAGGATAATTAGGTAGCTGGGATCAGGGTTTGGAGGGAGACTTATTTTTCAACTGTCTGTCCATTTATACCTTTGCAATCTTGTACTGTGAGCAGGCATGGCCTATTTCTGTAAGGTAAGGGTCAGTGACCTCAGTAGGTGACCTTGTTGAGGTTCCTGGGCACTCCTGGTGGCAGCCTTTCTTGGTTTCCTCCACCATTTGCTCTCTTTTTTTGAGTCAAGTTATATGCACTTGACTCTGAGTTGAGAATATGGAAGAAAGAACTTCTTTCTCAGGGATAATATGCTGACACAAAACTGCTGAGGCATTCATTTGTCATTAGTATTCTTATTAGTGTTGTATGTCATTAGTATTTATCGTTATCTCTAGGGTTGAGGGTTATGTAATGCTTGGAAAGCAGGATCTCTTTTTTAAACATTAGTTTCTGGCTTTGTTGCTTGTTAATTACTTTGCACCGGGATCTTATAGGAAATTTCTGGACCCTGCACAATGCTTTGCCTATGTTAAAGGTTTAAAACTGAGATTAAATAATTTTGTCCAAGGTGTCACTACTTGTCTCAGGGGTGGTTATAATTAGAAATATTAGCCTCAAGGTTGCAACTGGTGGCTTGCAGACCAAGTTTAGGATATAGATGTGGTTTTGTGGGGCCTACTCAATATTTCTTTTAATTGAATTAAGGGCATCATTTAAAAATCAGGAGATTTCATATTTTAAATATGATTTTAAATTTTATGCTTCTCTTGAAAAATGGGAAGTGCTGGCCAACTGCCAACTGGGTCTGCTTTCATGCAAGATGGCAATTGGCTGGGTGATAACTGTCCCCTTCAGAAAGGACATTAAGTCTCCAGCTCTCACCAACACCACCAAGCCTGATTCACCAGTTCATGGGGCCTGCGTGGCTACTGTGAGCATTCAAGTTTGCAGCCTCACCCTTCCTGGTTAAATAATGCTATTGCCGCTTTATAGGTATGATTCTCATCTCTGGTTTTCCTCTCTCCCTTATCTTCCTTTCTCTACCCAACTCATTCTTCCTCATCTCATCTACATTTGTTGATAGATTTTGGTCCAGAGGTCTTAATACATTATATATCATGATAGACCTCACTTCAAATTAGCATATTTCAAATATGGAGTAATATAAAAGCACAAATTTTATCAAAGCTCATGATTATACCTTATCATTATTATGGTTAACATTCTGTAGGCATATATGTATGGTACTGATCAGAAATGAGTATATCTGACCACCTGTGAGCCAGGTGTCTTTTGTCTTAAAACCAATGAAAAATTGCTGGAGACAAATACTTTCTTGTCGAAGAATAGAGAAAGAAGGGTCTACCTCTCAATTTGTGGTGCATGTGCAGTGACCGTGTACCATGAGCTGACCATGAGCTGGGACTGGAGTGAATCGGGATGGGAGGTAGAGGATTGGGAGACTGGCTAGACTAAATATCGTTGCTTATCTTGCAAATCAGCAAGTTTTGTCTGGCTTATTTGTCTATGATAAACTGTAATAAATGATAGAATGTGTGCTTTATTAGGAAACAACTAAAGAGACATTTTGA